TGTAAGGACGCACAGGAGTGATGATTTCGTTTTGATTCCCTCATGAAACAGATGCACAAACAAAATGAAGGAAAAGATTGTTGTGGTCAGTATGTTCTCAACTTCTCTATAACCATAACTATAACCAGTTAACAGGACATTATGAGAAAAACAATGCATGAAAACTAAATTAAATAAAACAAGCTTCAGGCTCATGAGAGGTACAAGATTACCTGCTACTTTGCATTTAGACATTAGACATTTTTCCCTCGTTAATGAACAAAAGAAGAATAAATTAATGAGCAGTCCCTTTAGAGATAACAACACAAACAACTTCATCTGGAATATACTAAAACAGTTTTTTTCTTTTAGCGGTTTTATTGAGAATAAAACAAAGGATTATAGACCAGTTTCTGGATAACATTATTAATATCCAGGTGATGTTTTCATAGCACAGATTAAGACTTAGCTTAGCTCTGAGCAGAATACATTCAAATGTCTACAAACAGCAGCTGCAGCAGACATATTTTAAATCATTTTCATGCTTCCTGGACGGTAATTATTTGCCATTTGTGTCAAATATCAGGGAAATGTACCTTTCTGTTGCACAAACAGCAGGTCACGCTAAAAGGTGAGCATGATCAGAACAAATCCAGACAGTGACAAACTGCACTCCTGCTTGATGTATGCGACCACAGAGCTCTGGAGACTTTGTGCCTGTTTCATTGAATGCAGAAGACTGTCTTGCTATAATAAATGGCCCTGCTTGGTGTAGTCGGCAGTTTGGGAGCATTAGGAACTGAAATGCATTAGGGCTGATTAGACCGACCAAGCCCAAGTACCCTCTCCTGGTAATGAGAACGCTTTGTCACTCATTAACACCTCTACCATTCTGGCCTTGTAGAAAGAGAGCGCAAGGCAAGCATTTGCATTTTTTCTTGCCAGCAGAAACAGTTTCTTTTGATGAGGTGGAGAGAATGAAAGGGAGAATGAGAGAGCAGTCAATTGCCAGCTACACTGGGAATGGTGATTGTGCGAAACAATGGTGTTTGAAAAAGGGATTTGGGGACATCTGATGAGAATATGCCCGATGCTGAATGCAGCCTATTTTCCTGAAGAGCATGTCACTTTTTTCCCCGGCCGCAATCATGCATGAAAACCATAAAAGTATACATGTAACTACAGCCTAGATATGTCCTTTAATGAGAAATGCATCACTCGGCTGGAGTTAAGTGCTGTATTGGGGTTTGTTCACTTCTGGTGAGGTGGATTTTTTAATGTTTCTGCTGGGGTTTTCAGGTAATTAAATATTTTCAATGATTTAACAGAATTTAACAGACACAGTTCATTTCAGTGGCTCTTTTCCCAGTGAACCAGGTTTGGTAACAACTCTCTAGCTAACACACTGTTTCTAGAAGAGAGCCGGTGTCAGTGGCTTGTGGTTTCATGTTATAATTAACACTGGTTGCTCGGCTAAATTGGGCTGCTGCCGGCCAATTAGCAAGATAACAATCCAAAGAACAAATGTCTTCTTCAACAGAGGAGAGTTTTCTCAGACAGCAACTTGCAGTGCTTTGAAAAGTGAGACAAAGACTTTGGAAATGAATCCAACTCATTAGCCACTTTTTACTAAGTGGAAATGAATAAACAAAGAAAATATTTGTCATCTATTTCTTCTCTTCTTGGTCACTTTTGACCCATTAAAAGTCGGTGATGCATCTGTGGAGCTGCAGAAGCTCAATTAGGGGTGGATGTAGCTGCTGTTCCGTCTCCTATCAGATCTTCAGATACATGATTTTAATCTCACAGACAAAGGTAATATTTTAGAGACCTTTACTTTGTGATTCGTGATGACTGTAAAATATTAGTAATATTTCAGAAAATTGGAGGAGTTGTAAAGTTGAAGTCAGTGTTGTGCATGAATGCACTAAAAGAGAGTGCGTTGAACAGGGTTGTCACACATTTTCATAGACAACATTTCTAAACTCTTCCACAACTCTTCAAGGACCCAGAATAAAACTGAATGACACTTAACAACATGAACAGAACTCCAAAATGTTTATTGTGTGAAAATTAACAGGAACCTTTTCCAATATAGTTGGTTACGTTCAGACCAAACAGTCGATGAGATGAGTTGAAACAGGCAACGACTTGCAATGCGCCGTTCTGCAACGTTCTAAAAACCTGCCGGTTCACACCAATGCGACTAGATGAGACGGTGTATCATCTCTATGCAACAACTCTCTTTAATTCCGTTCTGACTTCCATCTTTTCAGGCTTATTTTGTGACCAGCCAGTTCACACCGCTGCAACTTTTCTCTCCAGCGTTCTAAAATGGTTTCATCTTGTCATGAATCTTTGGTCTGAACTGGGCTTTAGGTTATCCACGGAAGATTGCTGTTACAATTACTTTCAGATAGACTCGCACTGATTACAATTTTTTGGGCCGATACTGATTTCCAATTTGCAGAGTGTTTGGATGGCCGATTCCAATTTTATTTTTTTCAAACCACTTTACAGCACACAAGATATTGCAATATTTTCTATCTTTCCTTTATTAGAACATTTTAACCAAGATACAACCAGCTTTTCAATAATCATCTCAAACAAACAACAACAGTGATACAGGTTGAGAAACATTTTCCTTTTTGCTCAAATATAACTTCAGGTACAGTACTAAAATAAATAAGTAAAAAAGGCATACATAAATAAAAACATAAATAAAATAATATTCCTTGGTGTATAGCATTTGTGGGTAATTTCTTGAATAGATAAAAAAATAAAAATATCTCCTGTGGAAAATTCACACAGGTCTTCAGGACGCGCCCGCCAGTAAGTGCGCAGACACGCACATCTTCGGCACGTGGACACGCGCCTCGTCAGTTTCAAGTGGCACAGTGCAGCAGTGACAGCTCTGCAGTTCAGTTTAACACGGACAATTAACAACTTTCTCCTTCTCTCTTTTGATGTGTGTGCGTGAATGATTAAGGTGAGAAGCCACCCATGTTTCACTTCCTCACATCACCCAAGCCGTGAGTTGCACATGTGCGTGTGTGTGTGTGCACTGCTGATGTTACACGATGTCAATCATGCAGCGCGGGGGAAATTTGACCGGCGTTTTAAATTGGCATATTATAATTTCACAGCATATTTTAGTTTCACGATCACGTGAAAACCGGCCTGATTCTAAGCACTGCCGATTAATCGGTGCAAGTCTACTTTCAGACAGACAACAAAATTCCATGACTTTTCCAGGTTTTCCATGATCATGAACGGTGAACTCAATGAATCTCTTTGTAACTAATGAATGTGAATGTGAGCGTTGTTCATTCTCGCAATAGTTAATGATACCCACGCACTGTATTTAAAATGCCACCAGACACTACAAGTGTGCAGAATTACCTGACTTTAAAACGTTCTGGTGGCATCTTGGTTGGCTGAACTACCAACTCCTTCATGTACTTCACCACACCACAGACTGTATGGGTAGTAGCTGCTGCAGTAGCGGGCCAATCACATAGCATCCATTTGAAGAATGCTCAAGGGTAATTGTCTGCGGCAAAAAATAAAAAATAGTCTTTTTCCTACATCTGGAGACTAAAAGGATTGAAGGCTGTTATCGTTTGACTGGAGAAGTTTCGATACTACTTGGTGCTGAACTATTTCTTACGTCAAAAAGACCCTACACATGGAAAACGAATGCATTACTCACACAGTGATTTTATTTTTCAGTCTGAATTTGGCCTCAGTGTTGAAGGTGCACTGTGCAAGGTTGTTAAACAAAAATACACCTGTCTGGTCAGTTTAAACCTCACCGAAGGGCTGCAACATTACTAGGGTTTCCCACAGGGTATTACAGGAGCGCACAGTGCCTGGATTGAAATTCAGAGGAAATCAATACACCTTTATGAAACATAGTATTAAGCTTAGGAGAAAGTGAGCAAAGGCAGCATTTTTAAATTCTATAACGACTGATTTCACCCTGGATTAACAACTAAATTGATAAAGAGGAGAGATACGACTATGATATGGTGCTGATATTCCTCATTAGGAATAAAACTGGTAAACACGAGTGTGCTGTGTCGACTTTACTGAAGACATCTCTTGAGAATCCTCAGTACTTCAGTTTCAAACAACTTTGTATATCTCGCTGCTTTTTGGAGTCACTGAAGTCCTCTAGTGTAAATTCAACTCGGAGAAAAAAAGCTTTCAGTTTCAAGGAGAACAAACACCATAAATCTTTCTCACTGCGCTTTTCATATCAGATGTCTTTTCTTGCACGCACAAAACCAGAAAAATGGTTATCAGACGCCTGCATGCCTGCGCATTCTCTGTGCTCACTGTTAAATTCAAAAACAAAGAGAAGCAGCCGCTGGGTAAAGTTCATCCAAAGAGAAGTGATTCATGTTTATGATCCTCTCTAACACCTCAAATGCAGCTCCAGTCGTGTTTTACATATCACTGGCTGCTTCCCCTGCTGTGTAACTGCAAGAGGCTTTGAAGGTGTCAGATTAATTGAGAGGTTTCTTAAAAAAAAAATCTGCCTGAATCGATTTTTCCCACCTCAGAATCAGAAGCCTGCAAATTATTCTCAGTGTGAAGGAGACTTTCTGGTTGAAGGTGCTGGTGAATGAGAGGATGTGAATGACACAGTGTGGGATTCCTCACAACATGTTTGTATTTCTCCGCTGGGCCCGACCTGATAAGACTGTTTACGTTCCCCGCACCAGAGTATAGAGATTAGCTCTGTTTTTCCTCACTGAGAGTCAAGCCCTGAAGGAGTTTTTGGTGTACTGTTAAAATACTTTATCACCAGCTCTGAAGTCTACAAAAGCACCCCCCAAAAACAAACAACAACGTAAACCATTCATTATCTGAAATGTTTAGCTATGATCAACAACAACTTTAAAGGACGTTGATTTCTCGACTTTCTCTCGCAAGCACTTGTTCTTAGGGATCAGAAAACCCTCCTTGATGATTGTCAAGTGCTCCTGCTCGGGATTTGTGAAAGCATATCTCACCTCCTGGCCCTGCGATGACTGTGGTGTTTGCGTCCTTTTCCTTTGATGCAGCCGTTCCTGTCCGCCGTGTCCACCCTGGTGTCCGCAGACTTCCTCTCATCAGTCTTGAGCGGCTGGCAGGCTGTTGTCTCTAAGCTGTGAGGGAAACAACAAGAAGAAGAATTTAGTTTTCGCTCTCGTTCTTGGCCCTCTCGTGAGAACTTTTCAAAGTGATTTTTCTACTTGTCCACACAGTTAACGCTTCCATCATACAATAGTGAGGAGGATTTTGCATGCTTGGTTAGCCTTATTCCCTCTGGTCTACTGGATATGTGTTTTATTCCCCTCCATTTCTCCCTGCCAGCCATTCTCCGGGAAAATTGGAGGTCAGCCATTTACCATTCAAATCGAGGTGTCAATTGAAATGTAGTTATTTACATGCTTCAGTTGCCCTGACATTTTGGGAAATGGTGTTTTCTATCTCGTGCCAGGCAGATGCAGCCACGGGAGATGCATGGTCATAAGAATAGTTGAAATTCTCCTTGAACTTTTCTTCCTGATAAACCTGAGCTCATACATTTTTTAGTTATCAAGGTATATTAAAGGGGTAGTCTGGATTTTTTTAATGGGGTTGTATGAGGTACTTATTATTGTCACTGTGAGTGGAGAAGCAGACAATAGTGACACCATGGAAATTAAAGGTTCAGTGTGTAGGATTTCGGGGCATTTATTGTCTGAAATGGTATAAAATATTCACAACTATGTTTTCATTAGTTTATAATTACCTGAATATGAGAATTGTTATGTTTTCATTAGCTTAAGTCCAGTTCAGATCAAAGATTCGTAAGAGGACGAGTTGATACAGGCAACTTCTTGCAATGCGCTGTTCTGCAACGTTCTAAAAACCTGCCGATTCAGATCAATGCAACTAGATGAGATGGTGTATCATCTCTCTGTACTTCCATTCCGTTTTCAAGCTTTTCGGGCTTACTTTGTGGCTGAATATAATTTGTAGCTTCTTAAAATATGAATGAGGATAGTGATAATAAGATACTGGCTACAGCTGCATTTGTATAGTGACAAAACCACGAAAAACAGACACAAAACGAGCATCAGATGGACTGTATTCATCATAAATACGCCACAATAATATAAATACTCAGCGCCAATGAGCAGTCAATGAAAATGTGTGTGTATGTGGGTGGGGCATAAGCACACACAGCTAGAAGCAGCAGTGACCCAACGTCCAACACGACACACAATGACGATGGAAACAGAGCACCTGCCGCAGTAAGTAAACACGTTGTCTGTAGTCACTTTGACTTGACCAGTGGACTTTAATACATGCCAACTGGCTGCTGGAAGAGGTGACGTGCTTTACGTTCTGAGTTGCAGGTGAAACCATCAGCCAGCTTGAGTTGAGCTCAGACCGGCCAGTTCACACAGTTCTCTGCAACGTTCTCCAACAGTTTGTCTCATCGCGAATCATCGGTTTGAACTGGGCTTTAGAATGAGCTGTATATGTCTACATAAGGAGTCCTCCATGTTGTTCTACAGTAGCCCTGAACGGACAAATCAAACACTGGCTCTAGCGAGGGTCATTCACGTTTTTGCATCGGCCACAGTAGTCCTCCTACACACTTGGCAAACAAGAAAAGTTTCAGTTCTGCAATATCACCGTTGATATATCAGTTTCAAAGTACACTACAGTGAGAATATTTTCACCACCAGACCCCATTGACAAAAACTGCAATTTTAGCTCGCTGAACATGGGAATTGCTAGTCTACCACTGCCTCAAACAGTTAGTTAGTTTGTGTTATTGAGTGACTTTGGTGAAACCAAGCTAACCCTTTCAAATGACAAGGTCACAAAATAACACAATCTAACTAACTTAAAGGCAGCGATAGACCAGCAGCTCCTGTATAAAGTGAGGTAAAAATGACTGTTTTCTCAATGGAGTCTGGATTGGAAGAGAGAAATTGATGGCTTCTGTTCCCCGTCAGAAATTGCTTTCCGACAGAAAGGTAAAGCAGTTGAAATATACTAAATATAGCGAACACTTAAACTGATATTGATTTTGTTAGGTGGCTAAAATACATTTCGCTGCTGACCCCTCTACAGCAATAGATTGCTAAGCTTCCATGTCATATGTCAATCAACATTATTTTATCCGTAATACACCTATTATTGTAGCTCATACAACCCCACTTCAAAAGATATCAACGATCCCTTTAACACAAGCGTAAAAGCAAAATCAAGAAGTCACATATCAGCCTTGTATTTAAACACATTTTCGCAGTTTTACAATTAAGGTAAATTATTTCTGGCTCCTAAACAATGCTGCTATAAGACAGGTATTTACTAATTCCACCACTTCCTCCTGAACCTCCCAAAAACCGTCATTGGCAGTCAAATGCGGGTGCAGAACGAATGACTAAATAAACTGAATGATTAGATGTGAGCACACAGTTCTAGCCCTGCTTATTATCCTCTGTTTTAGTCATGGGAGATTTGAGCGTAATTACACATTCTGCTCTTCTTCGAGTGGCTCCCGTCTGATTGTAATGAGAAGATAATCAGAGCCGGAGATTAGGCCGTCAACGCTGCTGCCTCCTCCTCCTCTCCCCCAGCGACAAGCAGGCAGGAGCCGTCGCTTTCTATCTTCCTCACCTTCACTTTCCTCTGCCTCTCTGCATAAGAGGGAGTGCCCTCGGCAGGGAACTAATAATGTAAAACGGCAGACTGGGTGCTCCAACATGACCAAGTGTTTGAAAGGTGATAGGGGAGATAAAGACAGCCACCGGAAGGATGATTAGTCTGATCAAGGAGGCTGAGGGGGAAGGAACCTTCACATTTCCTGGGGATTCGGGTAATGTTCTCCTACTGTTGTTGGAGACGCAATAAAAGTCTGCTTACATTGTTTCCTGTGCCGTGGTAATTTATACAGTTTGAGGCGACAAACTAAGACATGATCTGATTCTTTTTTGTAGGAATGCACCGAAATTAAAATTTGTGGCCGAAGCCGACGCCGAATATTATTAAACGCTTGGCCGAATACCGAGTACCGAATACCGAATATTGTTGTTTAGTTTTTCATTAGTTTTTGCAGATGAACCCCCTCCAGATTAGTGTTGTCACGGTACCAAAATTGGGACCCACGGTACGATACCAGTGAAAATATCATGGTTCTGAGTAGTATCATGATACCACAGCGAAAATGAGGCAGATGTGCCTTTTGTCATTTATGAAAAGATAAATCACTTTTCTATAATACATCAATGATATTTCAATGGAATAAATTACTTATTGACTTATTCATACTTCAAAAACAGCATCAATAAGTGATTAACATAGGGGGGATCAAAATAAAATAAATAAATAAAATAAGAATCAACCAGCCACCCTCCTCCCCTGACAAGTAAAGAACAGTCCCTAAAGTGCGGTGAGGTTTGTGGGCCGTGAACGGCTTGTTTCTCCTCTGACACATCACATACCTGTGTTCGGCTGGCTCAGCTGTTCAGGTACTTTTGGGCAGTTCACACGCCAAGAAGAGGATATTATTGGAGCTGACTTCCCGTCGCCGGTAAGCCGATGGCCGCCGTATTTGACAGGAATACATTACTGTCTGTGTCTGTGACCCCCGTTCAACCCACAATCGGTGGGATTTGCCTTTCGTTTCTGCTGCTGGTTGAAATCTGTAGGCTGCTCGCACAGCGTGCTGAATGATTTAAGCCTATTTTGCTCACTCAAAACTATTTTTAGTCGCAAATGCGAGTGCCGTGATGGGCGGATCACCACACTGCCGACATTTTACTCTGCCGGTCACGGCACGCTGTTTGATTGCGTTATCAAAACACGCCACTATTATTCGGCCTTGCTTTTAACTTATTTCACCGAATACCGAATGTGTGTTTTTTTGCAATATTCGGCCGAATATATTTGGTTACCGAATATTCGGTGCATCCCTACTTTTTTATTATTCATTTGGACTCACTGGTAACGTTGTTGATGAAGATTCTCAGTCATCCAGGTCATGGTAATCTTAAGTGGCATATTACAGGCAACTGGACTTGCTTTTGTTTCTTAAAGATGTTTCACCTCTCATCCAAGAAGCGTCTTCAGTTCATGAACTGAAGTTGCCTATGATATAGCACTCAAGATCACTGGTAACATTATATCACAAGTTCCGATAAGAGGGTCAATAAGTGACAAAGCAACATTCTGAGTAAGTCATTAATACTGAAGCCTACACAAACACTGCATTATGCAACAGTCCACCTTGCTTCTTTTCTTATCCTCTCTCTCTCTCTCTCTCTCTCTCTCACACACACACACACACACACACGTTGGAGAGTGCCACTACACACAGTCGTAATTGTCTCTGGCCTTGTCTCTGTCTTCAGTCCTGACAACTGTCTTACTGTAATACATAAAGTTGGCGGTTTGTGAATCGGGTCCATCATCGTCTGTTGGAATGTTTCACTGTGGACATCGTCATGCTATTTCAGTAGCGACGCCCGGCCCAGTTTAAGGCCATGTTTACACGAAAACAATCACTGAAAACAGAATCGTTTCGCAATTTCGTTTTGAAAAAAGTTCCGCGTTTAGAAGACAATGTTTGATAACAATCGTCGTGCACACGGATCCGCAAAAATGACCAAAAATGCTGCCGCATACATGCCAGACCAGTAGTTGGCGGTGTGACGCTTACGCTTCCTTCCACAGAGCGGTGATGTATAAAAAAACAAAATGGCAACTGCACAAATGTTTGTCTTGACGGACGACGATGTGGAGTTGCTACAGTAAATCTACACTATGATGGGGAAGAGTTGATAAATTCAACAGGGTGAGCAGCACAGAGTTCGGGAGTCTGCCATTGTTGTTGTGATGGTCGCCTTTCTTGCGCATGCCGAGTGACTGGAAGCACAATGTGCATGTGCGTTTTCAGAGGAACTGCATATTCCAAGTTTACATAACCACAGAGTTGGTGTCGTTTCCAAAAAATTGCACTCTGGAACCCGTTTTCAAAACGTTGCATTTTCAGGCACCCAAAACGCCGCTGTCGTGTAAACGATCGGCCAAAACTCAACTAAAGTTCACCATTTTCAGTTGAAATCGTTGTCGTATAAATGAGACTTAAGCCAATCTCTTCAAG